TTGGCTTCCCCATTTTGGAGTGGTCACTTGCCTCTACTCCAGCCCCAAAAATGGAAACTGAGATGATGGGTGGAGGAGAGAGCCAGGGCTCATGCTGGGAAACTTGAGGTTCCTTTCCAGCCCTCAGATTCTGTGATGCTCAGAGGGTGAGTTCTGGGGGCACAGGACACATGGCAGGTGGATCTTGGTGTTTCTGCTATCCAGCTGGGAGCCAAGCACAGAACATGCATCAATCTTTATCAAATGACTGAGAAAATGAATGAATGAATGTCTCCATCTCAGTTCTCAGCCTGGTTCCTCCTTCCTTTTTCCCTGTAGTTGGTACAGATGGCATTGTCCCAGTTTGTTCCCCTCTCGGCCACAGAGCTTCTCCTGGCCTCTACCGTCTTCTGCCTGGTATTCTGGGTGTTCAAGAGTTTGAGGTCTCGGGTCCCCAAAGGCCTGAAAAGTCCACCAGAGCCATGGGGCTGGCCCCTGCTCGGGCACGTGCTGACCCTGGGGAAGAGCCCGCACCTGGCACTGACGAGGATGAGCCAGCGGTTCGGGGACGTGCTGCAGATCCGCATTGGCTCCACGCCCGTGGTGGTGCTAAGTGGTCTGGACACCATCCGGCAGGCCCTGGTGCGGCAAGGCGACGATTTCAAGGGCCGGCCCGACCTCTACAGCTTCACCCTCATCGCTGATGGCCAGAGCATGTCCTTCAGCCCAGACTCGGGACCGGTGTGGGCTGCCCGCCGGCGCCTGGCCCAGAACGCCCTCAACACCTTCTCCATCGCCTCTGACCCGGCCTCCTCATCCTCCTGCTACCTGGAGGAGCATGTGAGCCAGGAGGCTGAGGCCCTGATCAGCAGGTTGCAGGAGCTGATGGCAGGGCCTGGGCGCTTCGACCCTTACAATGAGATAGTGGTGTCTGTGGTCAAAGTCATCGGTGCCATGTGCTTCGGGCAGCACTTCCCCGAGAGCAGCGATGAGATGCTCAGCCTCGTGAAGAACAGTCATGTGTTCGCGGAGAATGCCACCTCTGGGAACCCTGTGGACTTCTTCCCCATCCTTCGCTACCTGCCCAACCCTGCCCTGCAGAGGT